GAATTAAATGTTTGATTAAAGTGGAGTTTGTAGCTCAGAGAAAATTGTTACACAAGAGTCAGAGAAGATCGAAGCCGCCTTTTTTGGAAATTAAGGTTCGCCAACAACCAACCACATAAGGTGATTTCTCTTTCATATTATTATAACTACTACTAGGTCCTAATGATACTATGACATGATATAATTGCATTATACAACACTTGTGTATTGTCTCGAAAGACCTTTTGTACAATCTCTTTGGATCTATGCATATTTCGCAACTAAAATTAAAAATAGGATACAATAAAAGCAATAGATCCTTATTGGTGATAGATATCAACTAGTTAAGATGAAGGCTTATTCATGATACTTTTTGGTTTCCCACCCGGTGTCCGGAGCCCATATTGGAGCTTCGACTAAATCTGGATCGTGCTTTGCAGGGCCCATTCGGAGGTGGCGCTCCCAACATGATTTTCTCCATACCCAGGGCTCGAACTTGAGACCTCTGATTAAGGGTGATACACTCCCACCAGTGCACCACAACCCATGTTGGTACTTATTCATGATACTATGCATATAGTAGGGCCCAATGTTACCACTTACCAGGAGTAATTTAAGTTTCTTTAGAGATTTGTATCTCACTTGGAAATGTAGAGAACCTCTAATGTTAGGAAACCTAAAAGTAAAGAATATTTTATTCTAATTTTTTTTAAAAGATATTGGAATGAGACGATTCCAGATAGAGTGAAATAAATAGTCAGGATTCATATGCTAAACCACTTAGCTTGAGATTGAGAAAAAGATGGCTTTTCCCGGATAAAATGAAAATTGGATTCATGTAACAGGAGAAAGATTTCCCATTCCTTAGCCGGAAAGATATGTGGCCATGAAAGAGGGATTAAGTGGAACAAAATTGACTGGGTGGTAGAGTCATGGGGAATAGCTGTTGTTGTGTAGCGCTTGCATATGTGTACCTATGGAATATCTCATGCAATTGCTCAACATTTTTTTTGTTATATCATCCCTCTTTTTCCCCTATGCTATTTGCTAGCTCCTATCTTCTTGATCAAGGCCTCTTGTAAAGTATTTACTATTTACTATCAAACAATTGAGTGAAGAGGAGAAAGACCCAGCTAAGTGGAATGTGATGGCTGATCCATGTGTAACAAAATGTGTTTTGTTTCAATAAAGCTTTGCGTACAAAGTGGTTATATTGGTTTGACCCGTTGAATGACCACATATATGAAAACTGTTGCAACCTTGTTGTTAATGTTTGTCCCTACGTTGTTGTCTTGGAAAAATAATTGGAACAACACTTGATTTTGTTGTATGTCACTCAACAACAAATAATTTGTAAGTTCTCTCGAGGTGATTTTCCTTCATACTGATATAGGCTTGGAGGACAACTATCTTTGAGGGTACTTTTGTCTATCATACTATACGTCTAGTTTGTGTAAGCTCATTGTGGTAAACTAAAAACTTTCTCTTCTCTAGTATGTCTCTTGGTGTCTAGGGGTATCAGAAGACTTTAGCTGAGACATATATTTTTCCAGTGACATGACTCTTCACGAGTTCATTGCATCTGAAATTTATTTTATCCTTACAATTTATGCTCCTTTTTATGTATATCCAATGGAACCCTATGACTGGACTCCTATTTGTCACATGTTTGTCATTATTAATCAGCTTTTCCCTTAAAAATAAAAGTTCCCTTTGAAAATCTGTACTCTTTCAAAAGCTTGGTGTTTTGTCGGTTCTGAATGTGGTAATCAGTTTGCCTTCCAAGTCCCAACTTATCCCACTTTGTGTCTCCAAGAAAAGGTAATTAGTTTGTTCCTTGAACTTATATTAGACTATGTTGTCGCAGGATCTCGTCAAGTCATCTCTAGAGGACATAGTTTCTGATGAAATACAGAAATTTAAGCACTCATATCAGAGTGAGACTTTTGATAATTATAAATTCTCCCTCTCACTGGATGATGCTATATGGCAATATGATGGCCTTCATGAAGCTTATCAAGGTGATTGTGATGAAATGCTGCTCGAAATGCAGAGGATTTTCTATGAAGATCTCAGGATGGAAGAAACAAAAGGTGAACGTCTTTTCCATATCATCTGGAATTTGGTGCTCCACCTTGTTGATGGATTTTAGAGACCGTAGTTTTCTGAATAGACATAGCCTACTGTATATGAACTCAGGAAAAAAGAATTATTTATTAAGGAGCTCAAAAACACTCATTTGTCCAAAGTTAGAAGGTGACAGAAAGTCTTGAATGATAATTTGCCAAACAGAACTAGTTATTCTTTTTTAGTTTTATCTTTTCTCGTGAAGGAGGAGGGGGATTATTTTAGGAATTACATTTCAATTAACCTTCCTTCTGAGTTAAATTGTTATGGCTTCTCGCAGAGTAAGTTTCAAATGAAACTTGGGAGGATGAATAAGATGAGTATTTGTCTCGTGCAGTATATGAGCACATGAACCTCAATGAGAAGGTATGTGGTCCACAATAAAAGCCAAAAGAAAAAAGCAACCTTTTAAATTATCAGTTCAGATTAGTCAAAAAGTTAACGATGTGCATCTTTGATGTTAATTTTTTTGTTAGAAAACCCTTTTAAGTTCCTATTTCACTAAGCAAGGAATTGAAATTCTTTTCTTGTTTGTTTCATGAGAATGTGAGTCATAGCATGGCATTGGTAGTCTAAATTTTCTATCAACTTCTAATTTGACTCTTTTTATACCACTGTATACTTCCCCAATAAAAAATAAAATTTCAATGACATTATATCTAATGTGATCCTACCTCGATAACAGAATGTTTGGTCGTATAATGACACTAGAGCAAATGAGATGGCTAATTGATTATGCTGTAGTGAATATATTAGGCAGGATTAGTTGGAAGATGGCTAATGGAAGGAAAGTTGGTACTGTTTCGTGTATTTACATTTGTACGTGAATCTTTTGTTGATGATACATATTCACTGATTCATTCAAGTTTCGCCTTTTGGCATTGTTATATGTTTCAGTTGCACATTCATACATTCAATACAAATTCACACGGTCTGTCAGTTGATAATAGGTGATTTTTTTGAATATCTTGATGTTTCCAATAGGCTAGCAAGGAGGTTTGGTGTCCCATCTGCAAGCAAGCAAAGTTGAAAGAGGACTGTCATCATATCTATTGCTCTCTTTGTGGACTCCGGCTCAACAGAGATGATGAGGTTAGTGTTTTTGAATTCCCATGTCTTGCATATTTTTCAGAGTTTCTAAACTTTTTTGTTATTTTTCTAGTGATTAGAGACTTTTCTGAAGGTTTTTAATTTAACACCACTTGCTGCCTGATTTGAGTAAATTACACGCCTTTGTATTTTTTACTTTCTTAGATTTGAGTTGAAAAATATTTTCCCACCACACAACTTTGCATTTTTTTATTTGTAATCTATTATTGTGAAGTGTTGTATGATTTTTTGGATATTGGTGCAGCATTGAGAACTAGTAAGATAACATTTGAGTTTTATGTGTGTATTTGTCTGCACTCTGCGTTACTGGTTTAGTTGGTAATTTCTGGAACATATTATAAATATGATTAACAGAGTCGATTTTTCCAGGTCAATCTAGAGGTGTTACGAAATAGGTTGGATGAAGCTCATTCAGACCATCTTGATCAAGGATGCAGGTTAAAATCGAAATTCTGCGTTGAAACTAGATTTGATCTGACTGCTCTGTACATAACCTGCCAGGGGTGCAACATGTTTGAGATTGTAATGTAGCCATTTTGGTGTGCTTCCCTTGATTGTAATGGTTTTATAGTTTCATGTGGATACGCGAGTTATTATAGGTGATATGTTTGCTGAAGTTGATCAACCAAGTGGTGGGAAACACTATTTATCTTGGTTTTGTGGTTAATCCAACTGATTTTATACACTCACTTTGCATACCTATGTTGCTCTTCTCTTATCACGGTACTTCCATTTTCTAAACTCTAGCAAATAAAGGAACAATCTATTCTAGGCACTTATTAACCTGACGAATAACTATGATTTTCTTCTTCAGCCTTCATTATATGCTATTCAACTACTTTTCCATCACGCCACAATCAAGCAAGGTTTTGATGAAATTTAAACTCAAGTTTAAGGAAAATTACAACCACTAAACTTCAAGGTGGATTTTGCCAGACTATTCTATTTCATTCATCCTCCATTTCGTCTACTCCGGGAACCCAACCTTGGAACTCACTTGCTATTTTTGTTTATCAAATGCAAATATATGTATATATACGGTGACATCTCTCTATAAGGTCACTTGTTATAATAATGTGCTTTTTCACTTCTCTATAATAATATTCTACCTTTATGACATTCATTATAATTGCATGACTCAAATATTTTGCAAGAAATATATTGTAACCCTCTATTATTTTGTTAAAATGGTTGACAAATACATTCCCTTTTATTGAAAGTTTAGACAAATTTTTTTTATCAATTCAAACATTAGGTCACTAAGAGATTATAATTTATAAAATAGCCTACAATTATAAAATCCTTACACCAACCTTGATATATTTACATTTTTAATTAATTTTAAATGTTTATAAAACAACCAGGTGCACTAAATCTCCCACCATGCACAGGATCTTGGGAAGAGCCTAACCACTAGGGCCTGTTGTAGGCAATCTTACTTTGTATATAGATCCCTATTATTTCAATTCTTTGTGGTATCATACAATTAATCATCAATTTATTTGTAATGTGTCGAGTCTCTTCGTTTTAATTAAAAAATAAGTGTTAGTCTCTTCAATTTTTATGAGATTTTAAATTTAAAAAGTATTTTGTTTGCATTTATAACATAAAGTAGCAAAAAATAATTTTGTATATTTTTGTTGATAAAATATGAGATCTAAATGTCAATTGTCACTAAAGATATATAACAGCTCAATATAGCAATTAGAAGCCATGAAATCTTGAGACAAAACACTTCCACTATAGAAAGGTTTGACTGCATATACAAAAGACAGTATATGAACTTGGAAACAAAACATACAAGCTTTGATTTGAGCATCATATTTAGCACCCGCAAAAATACCATCTTGACAACACTGGATCTTATAAAATCTATAAATCAAGTAATATCTTTTTTCCTCACGTAAAACAAATTTTTCACATAAATGAAGGGAAATTACATAGGATTTTACATCTTGTAGGATACTCTGCTTTTACAATGCCTCCTTCCATGTTGGATATGGCTAACAACAGACATCTCTTCCAGCACAAATAACTGCAGCATAACAGGAAAGGAACCAAAAAAGAATATCGAAGACAAATGATCACATGCAAAGGGTGACCAAATGCACTACAGAAGCACAACATGAATGGAAATAATACTACTCTACACCAACACGTTACGCACAAGCCACAAGTCTCTGGCATTGACATAAATTTACAAAACACAGTGAAAATTCACTTCATCATCACTGATAGATTTCTATGACCATCTATAGAAATCAATCAAACGCCTCGTGCTGGGGAATGCCAGATATCAGAGGCATAGCAAAGGCGAGCTTGCTTTAGGAAAATTTACCCACCTCTGAAAAACCCAAAAGGGAGCTAAAATTCAGTCTCTAGAAGAGTTCCTCAGAATTGAATTTGTTCCACGCTTCCTGAAAAATATATAACTTGAGAATGAGCTAAAGAGAATTTTGCAGTCAGAAATAACATAGGCAGAAAAAAGATATTATAATGATAATTTTTGCAAAGGTAAAGACAACAACTCAAGATATGCAATTCAGGTAAGAGGATGCACAAACCCTGGCCACTTAAAAATCAACAGAATGGAGAAAGAAGTGAGTAGTCAAAACATATGGATAGCTACAACCCCCCAAAATATGGACTCTCAATAGGTTCACCCAGCCTACACCGACAATAGAACAATTGACTCCTCATTCCTTAGAAAGGAGTAGCTCTCTACCCTCTGCTTAACAATAATGTTAATCATGACAGTTGCTGGGAACCTAATACATGTCTTATCCAAGGAAAACACAAAAGAGAACAATTATGACAGATTTAAAATGCATTGATCACAGTTCAGTACCTTAAGTAGGTCAAAAACCTTCTCGGCAATATATTTTTGTTGAAGGTTGGCACCTTTCTGCTGCACCTTATCAGGATGAATACAAAGGGTTGCTTTTCTATATACTTTTTTGACAGAGGCACCCACAATCAAATCGGTCAAGGACACAGGCTGCCAGCCACATTCAGGCCAAAGCACCTAATGAAAAATAAAATAAGAGAAATTCACATCATAAGGAAAAATAAAAGTTGAAGTGACTTTGAGCAACATTACATTATTATTAGGAAGAGCAGAAAGTTCAGATATTTGAGGAAGCATAAGATAGTCAGCAAGTAGATCATAACCGTATCAAAACTAGATCAAAAAAATTATGATTTCCATGAGATTTGAAATTGTAGTCTCTTTTGCTTGTGAATTTCCATTTTAGAAAGTAGAAGATCCATTTTCCTTTTTTACCCATGGTGTTTAAAGTGGGAGGACAGAGGGTACACCTATCTCCAAGAAAACATAGGAAGACTTTGATTAGCAACCAAACAGAAAATAGACACAGTGAGCTGTTTGTGAGTTTTAACTTTGGCTCCTAGAATTTCTCTTTTAGAAGAAACACCAGTATTCCTTCAGGTGGCAGAGGGTTTATTGGGAAGGGATTATTCTGAATAGAATATTCACAAATTATGTTTGGAAAACGAACGCACATATTGCAAAGTCGATAGAAGTGCACGCAGATTTCCCTCTTTTCCAGCAGCCCATCGCTTGATCTCAAAATCTAATGTTTCGGAAATTCTCTGCAACAATTAGTAAACCAATACGATTAAGGAATAAACAGAAAAAGTCAAAGAAGCAAAGGATGATGATACAAATATAACTTAAAAAGGACAGAAGAAAAAGCAAGCTCATCTATCTATAGCAACGCGAGTTCAACCATGAAACCAGCAAAACTTGGCTCATGTCTGTTCACTAAAAATGTCACATGTTCAAAGGCAAGGAATCACAGAGCAATATAAGTTTCCTCGCACTAAATATTGTTGTACCCAATATATAAGTATGGCTACTTAGGTTTCGTATACTAACACAACCAATGAACTACAATTCACTCCAAATTAGTTGAGTTAGCTATATGAATTATTTGTGTTGATTCTTGCCCTATTTGTCTTTTTCATCCCAAGCTAAAAATATTATAAGGCAATACATGAGTGTGCTTCATGCAGCAACAAAATACTCCAGATAGTCAGTTGCGGATTATAATGCCTGCATTACTAGGATTTTCAGCAATTGGTTCAACATTTGGTTATGAATAGTAGCTTAGCTGTTTAGTCACCTTACATGTACGTATTATTCTATAGAGGCTTTGAAGCTGGTGTCTTACACATGACATTAGCAAGGTAAACTACTTTGATTCTCAACTCGCGGGAAAACAGAACAAGAAAGGTTGTACGTACCAGAGGCCAAGGAAATAGACCCATCAAAAAGCAAAAAAGATGTGTAACCTTAGAACAAGTTCTCAGGAATTCTCTATAAGTAAAAATCACCCCGTATCTCAGACTTATCTTTACACGAATGTCCAGTCTTTAACCAGAGGAAAAGGACTCTTAACAGACACCATACTCCTATTGTAAGCATAGAAACTATCCAAATGTTGGTATCACCTACACAAATTATTTGCTTCCATTACATCTGCTCTTAGCTAGTCTTCATTGGTTAGAGAGATTACAAGTCTATACAAACAACTACTCACCATGTGATTTTAGGTGTACCGCATCATCATATTTATCTTTCCATATTCAATCATTATATTGTCACATTGAACATGACAAATCATTTCTTGCAAACTTCTTTCTTTTATCCTTTGTGTGCTACCTGCACCATCTATCAAATGCTTTTTTAATCTTGTCCAATGTTATATCCATATAGACGTTTGATTTCCACTACATTCATTTTGTGGACAGTGTTGTTAAAGGCTCGTTTAAACCCTCAAAGCTTAGTTTGCTTCGCCTGAGCAGTTTGGTATATGTCAAGGTGCTAAGGCATGTTCACCTTTATCAGTTTATTGATGGGTTCTGTCTTTAAGGGAACTATACAACATATATATAGCTTAATTATAGTGTTTCTATCCTCGTCGAAACAATTATTACTTGTTTTTACAATTACATTTTCTTGCATTACATTTCTATTTTCATTTTTCTTTATTGCGATTTTTTCCTCTCAAGTCCATGCTTCAATTTGGCTTTGCGCTTAAAGCTCAAACAAGCTTTGGCCTTTCTTCGCACTCTACAACTTTGACTACTATGTTTGTGGGTATGTTGAGCATTAAAGGCCCAATGTTTTTTTTTTTGATAACCGAGAAATCATAACTTGATAATTGTAGCAAGAATATGAAGATGTATGATTGAGATCTCATTAAAAGGAAATGAGCTGTTAGACGTAGTAACCAATCGAGCTGTTTTACAACTAGAAATTAATGAAGGATATACTTGGTAAATATGTATTTCTGGTAGGAATACTTGTATTTGGAAAAATAACTTTTTGCTTCTACTTTTTTCAAGAAACAAGATTTTTTAGCTTCTTGCCTTCTTCCCAACCGTAGAGAAACTGTTTTTGCTTCTACTTAAAAGCAGTTTTACTTATTGGTCGAACACCTCAAATTTCCAAAAAAAAGTGTTTTTGGCGCCTCCAAATCACTTGGCCAAAAAGGCTCTATGTCACGATGTAGTCAGGCTCGCTTGAGAAGTGTTTAAACCTTGAAATTGGGTGCAAGATATACTAACCGCTTTGCCTCACTTTGGCAGCATTTGAGTTGGACCAGATCTAGAACTGTTCTCAACAGTTTGTGTAGCCATAAATCCTATTGTATTCATTGAGATCTGTTGACTTTGTATACCATTCCGTAGTAATTATACGATCATATCATAGATCCATTGGGGTCTTGAAATTATATAAATATGATAAGAATGTAGGCACCAAAGGCAGTAAGGCCCTTGCCTCATTGTTCATTGGCTCTATCCTGAAGAGAGCAGCACTAAACAATAAATCTTTCATCTAGTGATAACTTCTTCAATTACATTATTCATATAATTGATGTTTCAGCTTTTAGCAATTATTCTCCAACTACACATATTTCATTTGTGCCTTTCTTTGTTAAAGCACGTATTTTATTTGTGCTTTGGGCATAAAGTCCCATCCTCAGTGCATCTTACACTTTTTTGCCTTTGATAACACTGCTATGAGAGGCAGAGCGAGTATATTGGCTGCAACTGAATTCCAAAATTATAGATTTTGCAAATTATTTATCAAAACAAAACTTACATGTCTTTCTTCCTGATCCCTCTGCACTTGAAGGTCGCGCTGATTCTTCTCAGCCAAAGCTTTAGCCTGAGCACATACATAACAACTATGAAGAAATACATAGAACCTATTGTGCAAACAGCCAAATACTAATATACTACATGCTAAAAGCTGTAATCAGAAAATTGTACTGAATATTCAATGACAAGAAGGAAAGATATCATTTGTCAGGACGCATACTGCACGCTCCTGAGTACGTTGATGGCGTTCTAGTCTTGCTCTTCTTCTTTCTTCAGTTTCCCCTTCAACATCTTGGAATTCCCCAGATGATGCAGAAGCTGGTGAAGTTCAACAGTACATAGTAAAGCCGCGAGAAACAGCTTAAAACCAAATCAGATACATAATGTTAAGTCATGAAGACACAAAAGAAAGTACCTCCAAAAATAGAAGAAAGATCATCCACGAAACTAGTCGTGGAAGATGCTTTCCTCATGTTGGAGGAGGCTACACCAGCTGTTGATTTTGGCCCTTCAGATCCTGCCTTATTCTGAAACTGTGAATCAAATATGTTGTCCTAAAATGGAACGAACAAAGTAAAAAGTCAGCAAGAATGAGCGACAAATATATATCAGTGCTTATAAAAAACAATTAACAAAATAATGACAGTACTGTTGCAAGAACAATAGGCTATATCTTAATGGTGTTCGCTACTCACAGGAGTACTTGTTCTCGTCTTTGGTGCACTACTGGCTCTACCCATACTAAAAAAGGATTCAAGATCATTATCATTCCTTTGTTGGTTCATCCTTGCAGAAGCAGCTGCCCTTTCTCGAGCTTCTGCAGCTGCCCTTTCTACTGCTGCTCGTTCTGCTCGCCTTCGTGCCTCAGACTCGGCCTTCACAGCAGAAGCTTTTTCACATGCTTCTTTTTCCCTTGCTTCTGCAGCTGCCTTTTCAGCTCTTTCTTTAGCTTCTGCTGCAGCTCTTTCCCGAGCTTCTGCTTGTGCTCTCTGAACTGCAGCCTTTTCAGCCCGTCCTCGAGCTTCAGCTGCAGCCTTCTCCACAGCAGCTCTTTCTGCTTTTAGACGGGTTTCAGCAGCAGCTCTGTCACGTGCCCCAGCTGCTGCTCTTTCACGTGCTTCCCTAGTAGCCCTTTCAACCGCTTGCCGAGCCCTTTCTTTTTCAAGCTCCCTGGCTCTCTCCCTTTCTCTCTCAAGCTTCTTTTGTGCTCTTTCTTCTTCTTCCTTCTCCCACTGTCGCCTCTCATTTTCTAGTCTCTCCTGGTTTTCTCGAAACTCTCTTTCCTGCACTTCATTTTTTGCTTGTTCATCCCTTTCCAGATGTACAGCTTCCTTACTCTTAGCAGACTTTGCATATTCTCTTTCTCGGACCTCCTTAGCATGTCTAAATTTGGCCTCAGCTCTATCCATAACCTCCTTCATTGCAGCTGCTGATGCAGCAGCAACAGAGTTTCCATTCATCTCTTCTCCAGAAAGAGCATCAGCATTTTCATCAATACTACTCTTAGTCCAACCCCTGGCAAAATCCTCAAGTTCATCCAACTGTGAGACTGGAGGGCTTTTAACTGCAGGACGAACCGGCTTAGGACTCTGAGAATACTGGTAGTGATTAGGGGAAGAGGAGTAACCCTCACCCTTCCTTGCATTTGAAGAGGAAAAACTTGCCTCTGACTTTGAACTGCGCCGTGGTATTGGAGGCGGTGGTCGTGATGGAGGTGGAGCACTTGTAGGTTGTGTAAAAAGAGGAATCTCTGATACAGTAAGCCATATATCTTCAGAAGCCTGTACTTGATCCTCTGATCTTGGGGATGTATCCACTTGGAAGTTTGTTTCGTGAAGATCATTATCTGCATATGGAGGAGGAGCAGTTTCACCCAAAGATCTTAGAGGATCTTCTGAAGGCATGTTAAAATGGGGAGACTCTTGAAAACTATCCCCAGGCACTTTTTTCTGTGAGTGACTTTCAGAATATCTAAATGGCGGTGTCTCAATATTTTCTCTTGAGGTAGAGTTATGTGCATCGCTCCTTCCTGCTCCAGCCTTTGATGGGCTTCTGTCCTTCCCTCCTGTCTTCTTCTCATGGGAAAGTGGACGAACAGGCTTATCAAACCCACTAAGTGGATCTAGATCATCAAACACCCCTCCACTAACTGATGAAGCACCAGTTTTCGCCATTCCAGATTTACCAAGCTTACCAATCTCTTCCAGTGGATCTGAAAACTCCCCGGGAGGAGAATTTGCTGGCACCGAGGTCGACTCTAGCACGACAAAAGGATCATCCAGCATACTAGAGCTTTTATTTGAATCTCCAGCTGGTTTGGAGGGATAAGTTGAATCGGTAAATGACCTGTGGTAAAAGCACGCTTTTTATCATAACCGAATCAAAATGTAATACAACAGAGTTAAAGCAATATAATTCCTGCATTAGGAGTACGTAGGATTTAATCTAATCAGTAACTCTAATTAGCAAATGATATGCAAATATTAAATTTTCTCCACATGCCAGATACAGTTTATTTATTGCGGTCCAGTTTGGTAACCTCCCTGCTCAATCTTGTTTTCATCTTACACATACCACTTACAGTGAACAATTGAATCATCAGTTTCCAGCCAACTCTGGTAACATGAAAGAGAAGCATGAACAATGAAAATTTAATTAATTAAATGAAGAAATGTCTTTTGAACAAGACATCCAAACTACTAAATGAATTCAGTTGAACCACTAATCGCCCCAGCTGACAGGACTTCAACACCTCCACCACAGAAATTGCATTTTTGCACTTATCTGTTGGAGGTGACTAGAGCTGGCAATTTCAGCCCATTAATCCACATTTAGTGAAGTGGATCACTTATATTTCAGTTGGGTAAATATGGGCTTCCATCTATTTTTAACACATACAAATATGGACAAAGTATCCATATTTTACTAGAAAACCAACTCAAAAATTTCATTCTAATGTGCATATGTTGTTTGCATATACAAAATGCTACAATAACCTTACATTATGAAACGAATTTCCATACTTCTCCTTGCAAATTTTCACAATTCCCCTCAGAGGAAAAGATCTATTTGCACTTTTCCATTTCTGATTTTCTTTTGAACTTTTTATAACAAAAAAAAAAGAATATTTTTGTTATCCCCTATCTCTTCCCTTCTCTAGTTGCCAAACGAAGCAAACTCTAAATAAAGACAGAATGAAGTCACTTCAACTTATAACATTTTTGGTCTCTCAATTATTGATAAATACTGATGTTAATCCCTATGATATCTGGCGAAACATATTAAAAACTTTCTTGAAGGATTTAAAAAGTTTTAAAGAGTTCATATGTTATTTTTATTTTGAAACTGAAGAGTTCATATGTTATTTTCACTTTTATAAGATCCTTAAAACTTTATTCCTTATTGATAAAATCCAAAGAAATAATTTCCAATCCAAACACATAAAATTAAATGGGAAACAAAACACCATAAATTTAACAAAGAGCAATTTTATTGTGCTTTCTAACATACAAACTTGAATTGATCATAGCTGCATAAATACAAATTTCAAGATCTTCAGCTAATTACAAAACTTCAAGAACTTCTACTATTACAAAACTTCAAGAGCATGTATTAATCCACTAAAGAGGGAAAAAGAAACAAAAAAGTAATGTATTTAGTTCCAACATAATCCATTTTACCAGATTTGCAACGAAACTAATAAAGCTTCAAAATTAACAACGTGAAAACTGCAAAAGAAAAAGAAAAAAAAAGAACTGGTGCAATTAGTTATTTAGTTCTATCAGAGTAACAACATAATACTCAAAAATATGAAACATTATTAAAACAAAGAAAGATTTTTCGCTTTAGGAGATTAAAGTGAGTTAGGACCAATCTTTTACCCATATTCATATGGGTGGATTGTAATCCAATACATTTTAGCTCGAATCATTTTCAATCCACCCAAATCTGATAAAATCCGCTCATTTTGTCACAACAAGAGGTGACAATGTTTCACCCAACCAACATTTGGAAAATCAGGAGCATACCCCGATAAATGGAAATTACTCCATATATTAGCAAAAAAGTTTACGAAGGTTTCAATTTTCAAAGACTATATTAATGTGTGAGAGATTCCAAAATTCCATGCCAACCAATTCTTTATATAAAATGCGACAAGGTTACCATGTTAGCCCTCTAAAGCAGTATTTACACCCTTAAAGTGGTATGCATGTCCACCAGAGAAAGCAGATGACCTAATTATGTTCTCCATCTTGAGCAGTACACAATTTTTTTCTCTTTTGTATGAATGTAGAGAAGAAAAAGTATTCGGACTTCAACTCCAAAACCCTCTCCATACCCTCCAAAACAAAGGGGCAATAAGTAGATAAGATACAGAACCATTTTCGAACTGCCAATCATAATAAGTAAGCAGTATACACACAATCATCATTACATAATCAATACTCTCTAATACATGTTTATCTATGCAAATCCTTAGCTACGTCACTTGAATTAGGAAAAAACTTAAATACAGAGAAGCAAACTATTACCAGAAACAATTCCTCAAATAGAAATATGTTTTAATCCAGAATGAACACATTGCTAATTTCATCTAATAGCTCTAGTAATTCAGCAATACATTTAATAACTCTGAGGAGTGTACTAAGTTCTACACATTAATGGGTCCATATAGCTTTCTAATTCTATGATATCTAGCAATAAATTCAAATAATCAAATTTTGAACCACTGATCTCCAGCCAAGTAAGATTTTCATAAGAAGTGATTGCAAATGTTTTTCTCGCAACTGAATGAAATTCTGTTTTTGTTAATGACCAGGCCAGCCGCCATGCTGATCCACTCAAATACAAAACTTAGGTACAACAGCAAAGATCACATTTGTTATTAATTTCTAATTACACCAACTATACAATCTGATAGGGAAGGAGCACCGAAAGAAGATATGCCAAAATACCTGCAACTGGTGCCAGTTCCAAAGCCAGCTAGTAAATCATCGAACTCAGTGGAACCAGCACTACTCTTTGGTTGTGCCACCTTCTCATTCCTCCCGAAATTCCCCAAGAGATCATCAAAATGAGTGTTTTGCTGGGGCGGGGAAGTCATTGTAGCAAAAACATCGTCCTCAAATCTCAGTGTAGATGAAGAAGATAGGGATTTGCTCTTTACTCCTGGTAAGCCGTCGAATATATCGTCGTCGTAGACTGGCTTGTCATAGACAGGGAAGGAGGAGGTCTTGATGTTGTCATCATTGTTGTTATTGGTCTTGCCGGAGATGAAAATAGAATCGTAATTGAAATCGGCAGAGTTATTGGTATTGGTGTATTTAGGAGGGCCACCGAAGACATCGTTGAATAACATAGCATCAGGATCAGAAGAAGAGGTTGATCGGACGTCGGATCTCATTGGTGCGGATTTTCCTGCGTGCCGAAAACCCAAGTCTCGAGCTAACACATCGAGGTCATCCATTGGTAAATATAGATCTGATTCTGACCCAATACTGCCCTTCAAAACAGGCCAATTGCCGCCGGATGGATCTGACTTGGTTAGGGTTCTGTCTTTCTTGCTTCTTCTTGCTATGGCTCTTCCTCTTCCTCCACCTCCGGCCCTGTGCTTCCCTTTTTCCCCTCTCTCCTCTCTTTCATTTCTTTCTTTCTTTCTTTTATTTCACTCATGGAAACACCCTTCATCTTTCCTAAAATTTATATTCTCTCCCAAATAGACTATTTTTTACCAAATCTTTTACTAATAACTACTACTTTTTACTTTTCCGTCTATTCTGTTCTATCTATATTTATTGACATAAACATTACTAAGAAGTTAGTTGATTATTTCAATTTTCACTTTATGTCACTATGAGGATGTCACGACTCAATTTAGGGACCATGACCGGTGCTTAGGAGCTAGTCCAATCAAGCCTCATTGATATCGAAAATCGAAGAGTTTCTCCTATTTTTAGGTCTATCTACTCTTTCCCTATCTCAGAATTCAACAACACAACTAACCAACATCGCCAAAACAATACACATTTTTTGACAATAATCTATTTGTGATGTACTAATTCTAAATCCATCATCAAATATGAAAAGAAGTTTAATACTAGTCACACAACTATAATAATGAAATAACATCGCCAAAACAATACACATTTTTTGACAATAATCTATTTGTGATGTACTAATTCTAAAGCCATCATCAAATATGAAAAGAAGTCTAATACTAGTCACACAACTATAATAATGAAATAATACTAATGACTCTAATAAAGGAAATTACTAATGGAGAGACACTAAGAGTTTCAAAAAAGAGAGATTAGCAATTCAATAAACTTCTTGTCATGTGGAGCAATGTGGGACCCACCAGAAATAGACAATTCACACGCTCTAATTAATGAAATCCTCACCAACGTAATATGTGTTCTCTAAAAAATATTTAGCAGGGGTGAGACACAAGCTTAGTGAGTAAATCACAACTGTTTTTAATAGGGACAAGTCAGAAACATGTTAATCATAACCATAAAATATCATGAAATAAATGCCCTTATTTTGAACAATAATCAACCTTGTTTGTTTCATGTAAGCGAAAATCAATTTAACAATTTAGTAATAAACTTAGTATCACACCCCGAGCCTACACTCTAGACGAGATCGGCACTCGAGAATCATTTATGGTCCCCAAGCGAACCATTGGCCTGACTAACTACTTAGTAGGGAGATTTACTCAAGCAATGATAGGCTCAAAACAAAATTGAATCAATTAAACTCAAATACTAATCTCATAAAATTTGGAAAATACTCAATAATAATATTATAGTTTATAAAACAACTCAAAGAGAGTAAATACTGATAGATACCTCGACTTTGTTTATCTATGAAACATCTACTATTAAAGAAGGATGTCGGGACAAGATCCATGACATTCCTCCGGAATGTAAGGAGGCTTACCAAAAGCTATCTAGAGTGTAGAGTGATCTCAATAAAGTGTTTGTTGATGATCATTAACACTTGTATTTGCATCATAAAAAGATGTAGGGGTCGAATGACATCAATACATTGAATGTACGAGTATGTATTATAGCCTAAGTGAAACAACCGAAAGAAAGGACTACAATAGATAAATACATACTCAAGTTGAACTTGAGTGGCCAACACTTGAGTCAAATTATGAATAACCGACCTTATCTCAACATTAGACATAGCCCCTTCTTCAATAGGGACTTGAGGGTTTTGAGGAGCTTGAAGGGGAACCACCTCATTCACATTCTCCTCACCGGCCCTTCTTGCGTTGTTCCTTCTTGTATTCATTGCATATAAGCACAAGAGAAGGATTAGAAGAAAAGGACTAAATAGAGTTAAGACTCTTAGGCACGACTATGGAATAACAAAAGAGTGAAAGTTCCTAAGCATCTTGTAGCCTCTCATTCATAAGTGTGGCGCGCTTCATATCCATGAACAAGACTCTACTCGACGTGGTATCTTGTGACATGAATCCTACATTATTCTCAACTTTATGCTCTAATACCATGTTTGTAACGACCCGAGAGCACCCTCTAGTCATTACCGACGTATTCGACCTCGAAGAGGTCTTATACAAGCCCTTAACATTCATCATAACATGTATCATAGAATAAAATCACAGAAAATATAAAACTTTTACTTTGGAAGTTCAACTTCACTTCATATATGAAAAAATAGAATCTAACTTCGTCACAATGCACCATCTAGACATAGAAGTATCGAAAATGGGACTTAGCCCTTACATCAATAAGAAGTCTTGAAAATAGGAAGTAAAACAATGTATTTCAACATAAGCAAAGAACTAAACATAGAAGCTAGATCATAGGGTCTTGTCCTCAGACTTGAGGACTCACCAACTTGGGGAAACAAATCCAAGTGTCTTGAGAAGTAAACTTGAATCCTCAATGGCCCAAACCTAAATGTTTGGGAAAAGGGAGAAAATATGGGTTAGTACAACACACGTACTAAGTATGGCTTCTAGGCATAAAAACCATTGAAACATGCATAAAAGGACATTTTATTCAAAACATGCTTTTTGCCAAGTAAATCCAATATGCACATAATTAAGTATCATAGTCCAAACCAACATAATATCATCCGAACATGTAGACAACCCAAGCAATATTAGTGCAATGTAAAGAATAGAACCCCATAACCCTATTCTAAGCCAAGTATCACATTAAGCAACCTACTTCATGCATACATTCATAAGATCATATTTCATCATAACTTACCATATTCATAATGATCATACATAACATAGCTTTAACATACATAAGTCATAATCATCAAAATAATAAGAGAACACTACTACAACCATCTCATAGGATCCCACAAGTGCAATGTGCAAGAGAAGTTCCATACCCTCCCTTACACTATGTAGAAACCCTTAAGAAAGCCCTAGTAAGAGTTCACACCTTTCATACCTTCATTTACTTTTACATTAGGGAAATATTGCAATAACCGACATAGACCATGAGAGCTACATGGAATCCGATGTTCTACTCCCAAACCAAAAAGAGAGGGTTAACACTTGCCTAAGGTGTAACCATTTGTACATAGCTATCTAGGTGGATCCACTAAGCTAGAGTCCTATGTGGGCACATAGTTAAGGGTCAAGGAGATTGCTTCTAGAAACCCTAACTTACTAAACGTGGGGGTTTCCATCTCATGAGACAACACATATCGTAGGTAATCCGGACTTGCTAAACGTGAGGAAACCCATGTGGGGAGTCGGACTTACTAAACGTGAGACCCCTATCTCATTTACATGCCCTTTTGGTGCTAAGCATCAAATTCCCTTTTGTAATCGTCTTTAGTCATCACATAAGTTCACATTAGCCTTTACTAGACTCTTATGTAGACATCTTACCATAATAGCTCATATGTGTTCATAAGTGAGTAATAATCCTTTCACTTTAGAAAACACTTAGCAAGTGAGTAAACCTTTCATACTTGAGTTCAAAGAAGAACTAACCTTCATACCTTCTTGCCCTTCGTGGGACATCCATACTTCAATTACCAAGCAATTCATAACCAATACATAATACAAGGTAATCCATGAAGTAATAACATAATCAACATCAATATAATCAATTGACATTTTCCCTTCATAGCCTTCAAGGCTTCATTCAAAGACTCAACCCTAATTTCATAGAAATTATACATAACATAGGGTAGAATCATCATACAAACATGAATTACCTAACATCACATTCAATTCATAGCCTTCAATCAAATATCCAACACAAACTAGGGTTAGAATTAGGAAAATAAGGCGAAACATGGGTCTCATGGGGAATTCTTCAAGAAACCACCAATATAACATAAATTCATCCATAATTGTTCATATAACATCAATCAAAGTTAGTTTATAACATCAATTTCACTTTAGAAAGAAGACCCACGTTTTTGGATTGAAACCTAGAAATTGGAGATTTTAAAATTCATCTTGAAGGGGCCTCTTCGGGAAAGGAATCCCAAGAGTGATAAGCAACCATACCTTATAGATGAATTAACCACGAAAATCCGAGTTGAAACCTTGGAGAGTTGGTCTTCTTCTTGAAGCTCCAATCTTCTTCAATAGAGTTCTTGAGAAGAGAGAGAGTAGAGAGAAGGAGGAACTTTAGGTTTAGATCTTTGGGGTTTTGTGTTTGAGTGATAAAAAGTGAGGTAAATCGACTTAAAAATAATTATATACACGTCCCCTAAAGTACCCTAAATACCCCTCACTTAAATGGACTCTTTAATGAAGTAAAAATAGATTTCTGAATTTCTGCATTTTCGTCGCGGAACAAGTCTGCAACGCGGGGCTGTTCTCTGAAGATATTTGGAATTAAATTTCGAGACAGTAGAGTCTGCGACATGACCGCGTCGTGAACTGGATTTTTTCTCCTTGGGGGAGCAAGTCTGCGACGCGCACTTTTTCCCTCCCTGTGCAATTTGCAAGCTGCCTTGGCAGCTTGCTTGGCTAAGGTTGGGGTCCTCCTCAGGTCCCCTTAGGGTGGCCGTGGGGCGTCGTATTCGAATGTTTTGACCCTAGGAACATATATTTACCTATTTTAAACCTTTTCACCAGATTATACCATCATACGACACTCCCAAACCTGCCCAAAACCTAAGGACACACTAGAACACATTCTTCTCTTGTTTCCGGACGTCGTGGTTGTTTCTTGACGTTTAGACTTTTACTCTTCCAAACCAAGTCAATTGCATTTGTTTAGGTTTATAAACATCATTTTGACTATTTTTAAGTCATTATTTATAAGGTGAGGCTCTAAATTAAGTCATAGAATTTCCGGGGTGTTACAATATCCCCCCTTAAGGAACATTCGTCTCCGAATGTCACTTGGACTTCTTTCTAGGGAGACAATGACTCAAACTAGCAGCACAACAATTAGTCACATCAACAACATCAAATCATCATATCATATAGGGATTTAATCCACAATATCACTATGCTCAAAACTCTTTACTTCACATAAGTATAAGAGGAACTACCTTCTCCATATTCAATGAGCATAAACATATATATTAAGCAATCAACAGGACATTTCTTTAACAAGACAACATCAAGCATGCTTATTACAACTCTCATGAAGACAACATCACACAACATCAATGGGTGCAACATCAACCATGAGAAACAAAATTCATGA